CTTACTTATTGTTTTGCTGTGAGATATGGATTAGAGCAAGAGCAAAACAGGCTTAAAACTTAAAAAGGAATAAAGAAAGTTTATTAACAAAACTACAAGAATAAGAACACCAGAATAAACTTCCAGAAAACCCTTTTTATCCCCTACTACCCACCATTCCCTTGTTCACATGACAACATAGAGACAAAAAAACTTTGGAACTTTGGTGTTTAAAACAGTCCCAATTCCTGCTAGAGTCTTTTCATCAGTCTTTGTAGAGAAATAGAAGTCTTCTTCTGCTAATCTATGGAGTTTTCTACAAGAAAGCTATTTCTGTTATAGCTTTCTATTTTTCTGATGCCAGCTGCCCGGAAATCTGCCATCAGTTCTCTCCTTCCATTTCAAATCACTCTGAGGTGTGTTATGGGTCAATGAGTTTAGGGATGTTATTTTTAAGGATGAGTTACTCAAAGGCAAAAGTTCTCTTCATCTATTTCTGTGGGCTTCCCTGGAAACAGTTTTCTCATTGGCTCTCAAGGCCTCAAAGCTTCAACTATTACTCTATCTCACTCTGTTCCAGCACCTCACTGTATCACAATTACTCCACCTTTTGCTCAAAATCCAAACTTTGATCACTCCATTCCTCCCAATATACTCTATCATGAGTTAAAGGAGTTTTTTCAAGACCTTACTGTCCATCTCCATAGCTTTAACAGAAAAATATTTCAGCTTATAAAGCATCTCCTTATTCTCTACCTTTTCTGAAGCTTCTTTTCTTTACTGTCTCTGATAGTTTATAAAGTCTCTTTACATGTTGATTACTCTCTTTTTCTCTTTCTGGATAAAAGGATTAATCTGCAAGTCTCATCTAAGTAATGAAAAGGTTAAAATCTTGCCCAGGCTTTGTAGATGGTTCTGTGACCTCTGCTGGAGCAGCGGCTGGAGCTGTCTGCAATGGAAGATTCTTCATGGCTGCTCTGGAGAGTGTGGTCACTGTCTCAGCCTGCCACAGGTTAAGAGCTTTTTTCTTTCTTTACTCAACAGTCTCTGGTGAATTCAGTCACAGCAAAAACTGCGGCCTAGCCAGGGACCGGCCTGGCCCGGCCAGAGCCCGGAGCAAGCCCCGCAGGCCCCATCTCCCGGCCGGGAGCCGCTGGGCCCAGCTCAGCCCCCACCCGGCCGCACGGCCTGGGCAGGGAACGGGAGGCCAGCTGGAGCTCTGTTACCTTTCACAGCCAGGAAACAAAGAGAACAAGAAATTCTCAGGCTTAGGTCTTAAGGTGGTGTTTACAGGTTGATTTCACTTTTCAATGGTCAAAACTGCTGCCAGTTCTTAGAAATGACCGATAATTGGTCAGGAGAAAAGACTCCCATCAGTCACCAGCAGCTTCAACTTCCTTAGCTCTCAAAACTATCTTAAAGGTAAAGTCACCCCATGACACTGTACTATATAGTTCTGATTTTTTACATTTCAAATTCCCAGAGTCTATTTAGATTTTGGCACTCTCTATACAGTACATTAATATCTTCATCTAAATGTTTTATGTGCTCAGGAAGTAGCTTTTATTTCTCTTAGCTCCCCAGAATTATAATCAATTGCTTCATTGCAGACTGTACATTTCTTACCAAATACTTTTGCTCTATCAGAGCTCTAAACCAATTCAATGTAAGAAAGCACAGCTTTTGCTAAGTAACACTTTAGCCAGACCTGCCTCTGAAAGGTTGCAGCCATATGTCCACTGCCAAGGCCTGACTGTAAAACTAGCCTCTCAGTTTTCACTCTGTGTGTAGCCATTGTATCTCAGGACTCTGACCCACTCTTATGTGGTAACCAGGCAAACCAATAGTCTCTTGGTAAATGAGCCTGATGTCGTGTTAGCAACATCCTATTTTAAAGTACCTTTTAGTGTCTCACCAGCTGATGAATAAAGAAAATCATATTGAAAGCATTGTAAGAGTCGTAAGAAATCTGTACTGTATTATATAAGAAATATATATATATATATATATGTATAATATATATATATATAAGAAATCTACTGTATTATTTTCCAAGTACTTTGTGAAAAAAGAAAAAAATATTATTTCTAGAAAATCTTTCCCCAGAAGAACTATCATAACTACAGAAAGCTTTTCTCCAGTGTAATTTTATTAGGGATTCCTGCCATCATATCAACATACAAAACAATCAGGATGTTGACATATAGAAATGTGAAATTCACTGTACAAAGATAAGGCTCAAGTTACAGGTATATTTTCCCCTTACACTCCATGAAATAAAACCATTTTTAATTCTTCCCAGAGTTGTGTTTATAAATGTTAGACAAACCACAAAATAGATTTCAAGTACATAACATTTTACAATATAATCCAAGCACAGACAGAAATACACAATACCTATAGACGCTCCATAGTCCAAGTCTGTCATCTTTACTATTAAAAAGCTGCTACTCTTTCTGAATGTGCCCAGCTCTATCCTTCTGTGTATGACATGGTCCTGGCCTTTAAGTTATAAGACTCTCATGACTTTTAGCTAAATTATTTTGATAGAACAGAGAACATCAGGAAGGAAAGGTGAGAATTTTAAAAGGCCAGGTCTGAATGGATGCACATGGTTAGTAAATGCAAGCACATGTGAACACACACTTGCATTTAACCCTAGATAAAACTTCACTGCACTGCACAATTTTTTGAGATTATGGTCTCATGCAACATGAGAAAATGAGCATCATAAAATGAGCTATTTTCTGACAAGAGTTAAATCAAGCACTAAAATACTCCTACTTCTGGGGTGCTGTAATTCACAGGGACAAGACTATTGTATCCAACCTTTTTTTTTTTTTTTAAAGTGATTAGCAGACTTTCTAGGAGGTTGTATGGAACCATGTCGTCACAGTCCAGCGGGATGTCTGTTCTCACAGCCTTCGCCACTAAAAACAGCTTTTCTAACCCCTTTGTTTAGCAACAATGCAAATGAAGAATTTCTGGTTAAGACCAAATGTCTACCTTTGTTCACTCTCCATTTCTATTCACCTGAATGATTATTACCTTGTGGGAAAGGATCATTTAGCTGCAAGTAGCACAGGAAGAAATAGACATTAAATAACTAATCATTAATGATTCTTCTGGGAAACAGATTAGCAAGGACAAACAAAGACAATAAAAAAACACAGCTGTTTAATTTAGTCTTTGTTGGAGGGGAGATGAAGAGCAATCCAAAAGTTTTCAGCTGAGGAAAGGAACTCCTAAGCCCCGTAACTGTTCTACCTTTTAAAAACTGGAGATTAGAAGGGAAGGAAAAATCTTCTCTGAAAATTGCCATTTTAAAACTAGACACTTGCAAAGGCTTACAAGAGAAAACCAAGCAAAAGATATTCCCTGATATTGAAACTAAAGGAATTTATTCAGTAGGAATTAGACATGTGGTTACAATGTGTTAAATGTACATCTAATAAAATAGCCTCAAATATGTCTCCATAAATGTCTAAGCAGGAGAAAGAGTTTGAAGCCAAAATTCAACTTTCTTAATATGAATCAAGGCTGCACTAAAACTGTGGGAGAGGAGGAATAAATACTTTCTTGTCTTAAACAGAACCTCTGTGGTATATTTGAAGGCCTTCAAATGTTCTCAGCATTGACAAGATTTTACGTAAGTATATTCTCTAAGCTATATTGGAATACCTTTAGATATACAAATCCATGTTACACAAAACAGCATTAGATCTCGTAACTGGGCTCATAATAACAAGGAATGAGGATAAGTATGGTGCTATATGTGAAAGGAAGCATATTAGTATGCACAGAAAATATGTTGTCTTAGAGATTAGTCATAAGGGCATCAAGCATGAAGATGCATCTCTTAAAGTGTTTAAGCCTTTAACTGTGAGCCAGTAGATTAATTTTATATGAGCTGTACAGCCTAATGCTTTGCTTTTTAAAAGAAGTATGAAAAATTTATTCCTTTTTCACCTTTTCATGTTATTTATGGTTTTTAAAAGTAGCTCACTCACCTACTGATTTTTTTTTGGGTCTTTTTTTCTTTTTTTTTCTTTTTTTTTCTTTTTTTTTCTTTTTTTTTTTTTTTTTGCTACTTACTATTATTGTCTTCCATTATGTACAATAATCTACATTTAGACTGAAGACTCAATCTTTCAATAAACGTACTTGGACTATCTTGTGAAGACTTTATACAGAACTGATAAAGTGGAAGACAATCTGACAGATAAGAGAAAGGATCATTTCAGTTCTGCTCACTTCCCCAAGCTTTGGAACTTCACTGCATTTCAGAAATTCTTTTGCATACTTGCTGTCATTTCACTTCCCACAGGTAGCCCCTACTGAACTTGAGTGAACTTTCTGTGTTTCCCAAACACAGTCCCTTTGTATATAGCTACATTAAATTAATTCATTCTCCAGCCATAGTTTAAAAACAAATAATTAGTCAAACACTAAAAACACCCTACATGCCCCTCTGCATTGCTCTTACCAATGTGTACATTTAAATAACATCATAAATTGCCTTTTACTAAAAATTTACCAAAATATCTTACACACATAAAAATGTAAAAAAACAAACAAACAGGAAAAAAAAAACAAACCAAAAAACCCAGCATAAACATTGCTTGTATAGGCATTGGTTAGAAGAGATTGTTGCACTAAGGAGTATATTCAAAAAGTTTTTCTTTCAGTATCATCAGTTTTAGTATCATGGATTGAAAGGTTAAGGACAATGAAACTTATTGTGACCCTGTCTTATATAATGTAATAAATGAACTGGAAACCTGAAATGTATTATAAAATAAAGCTTCTTTTTGGTTATTGAGAGGTGACTGTATAAGCTGGTCACTAAACTGGCAATTTAAGTATGTAAAGGCAACTTAAGAACTGAAGAGTGTGTAATGAAAACCATACATGGAGTTATGAAGGCAGCTGCCAACAGATGGGCCCATGGGCATTATGGAAAGCTGTCACTAACTGAAACTTTGAATATAGCCCTTAGTTGTATCATATTCATGTAAAATTTAAAAGCTGCCCAGAATATCACGGATGAAGTTTATTTTGCAAGCCATCCACTGCCTAAGGGGGCAGTAATATTCAATATGAAACTGCTGAAACTCTGGTGTCTGACGGATTTCGTGAAGGAAAGAGATTTGAAGGTCCGACTCCAAGAGAACAAGGAAAAGGGGGAACACAAACAACAATAGTCCAAGGCCTACAAGGAAAAGTCTGGAGAAACTCTTCACAAAAGCATTCACCTCGATGTTGCCCATTAGAAAGTCATAGCTCCACCTCAGGGCTCTCCGAGCTTCTTTCAGTTCTTCCTCCTCTGCAATTAAAAATGCATTTTCATCTGCTTCAAGTTCCTCAAATGAATCGGTATCATCTTTCTCATTCTCTGCTCTTGGACAGGTATCAAAAAGCATGTCAATCTCATCATCAACAGGGGTGGGCAGCAAGCTGGCACTTGGATTGTATACCAGCTCTGAGATGGTTAAGGGTTCCTCGTTCATCTTCTCGTCCTGTTCAATGGCAAGATCAACATCCTTCCCAGTATCCTTTACTGGAGAGCTTGAGGTCACAGGTACTGAAATCTCCTCTTCCTTTGGTAGTTGGATACCTGAAAAAAATTAGATTAAAACAATGATACTAAATTTCTCACAGCCTGGTGCCAAAAGTCAGCCCTCCAACAGTATTTAACAGATATATGGAAAGAAGATTCTGCAATAACTTTGCATATTAAAATCAGACTGTACACTGTTATCAAAAACTGGAAAAGCTTTCTGAAAAGGACAGTATCTTTACAAAGCTGCAGTACATCAGATCTGCTTAAGAGGGTCCCACACAACTATGGATGATAATAGTGTAGTGCAAAGTAGAAAAGAGAACAGATTATTTTCTACTGGCAACCTGACTTCTGGTATAAATTAATACCTACTACATGTGCAAATTGGTACTCTTCGGTGAATAATAAACAACTACCAACTCTCATTGCTTTGAGATGAATGAGTATAGTAAGGTTATAGCTAAGGTTGAGAACAGAGCATGACATTAAAAAGAGACAATAGATGATCATGATAAATTGATGTTAACAGTAAAAAAGGCAAAAGGAGAGGAAGGTTATATGATATGAGGATTGGATATCATTTGAACAGGATTCTAACAGCCTCACCGATTAAAAAAGCTCCTTCTTGTGTCATTTTTTTTTTTTCTGCTCATCCAGTTTTTTAGCTCTTTTATCTCTCATCTAAATTTCTCCCTCCCCTTTACAGAGGAGACTTTCTTATGACACTGTTTTCTGCTCAAGCCCTTTCCTCTCAAAACTTACTCTCCTTTTTCCAGTCTATCTCTAACAGGAATAAATTTGCAAAGAAGTCTAGCTGTTTACAGCTACATCAAACCTTCAGTGACTGCTGTTAGTTGTCAGTAGCAGGAGCGGAAAGGAGGACAGTTGGGCACAAACCTGCCTTACAAAATAGTATTAAGACACCTCCTCATGGAAATTTCCCTTTTTTAAGTATTCAAAATGGCCCAGACAGATCTCTTCCTCTGTAATCTGTTATCTTTTCCCTGCTATCTAGACCTCACTGGCCATGCCTCCAGGTGAGGTTTCATATTTTGGCTAATTGACCAAAAACAATTTCTGCTTCCTTTCATTTTGTTGCTGAGAAAAGCAGCTTGGGTTAGTGTCTGATGTTTCTTCTTCCTGAGCTGGCTTGTCATGTGTTCTTGTGGAGACAGCACATAACCAGGGATTGAAAAGAGAGCAGGAGAGCTCCTTTCAGCAGCAAATGTGCATAGCTGAAATGAAACCTTGTCTTCAATAATTAGCTCAGTAATTTAATTAGTTTAATTTTTTTAAGTTTAATTTTACTTCCTACCTAATAATTTCTTGCCTCAACTACTGTGTCTTCTCTCATCACAGCCAATTTAGGAATTCATCACTTTTCAGCATTTTGTGCTGGAACTTGTTTACACCAGTCTTTACACTAAGAAATATATCTGTCACAATCATCAAGAGGAGGACACAAACCAACTGAAGTGAGACAAAACAGTATATGAACACCAAGAAGTGAGAACAGATTTGGAGGATCTTTCTCCTAAGTAACAGAAGGTAATGCTGGATCATCAAACCATACACAGTTACTTGAGAGTACACCCATGATAAATTACTAAAGCCAAAATAGTTTCACTCTGGGACCCAGCATTAAGAATCTATACATATCTTTATATGTATATACCTATACACAAGCACTACCATTTGATTCTCAAATATGCTTTTCAATTATTCTTAATATGAGTAGGATTTAAGTTGAGCCACTTACTTAGACATTTCAAAATGGTTGAAAGCACCCAATTTTACTCTCCCAAATTTGAGAATCCTGGCCATAGGCCTCTCTATATCACCTTAGATGCAAGGTCAGTAATATATCTTCATCATGTTACTCATCATAGAGGACAGCTGCAGCTACCAGAAAGAAAGGTCACCCCAATTTATGATTCTTGAACCTCCTCTTTCTCCCCACAGTAAATTCCAGCTTGCATAAACTACACAGTGAACATGAACAACATACTAACTTTCATTAAAACTGTGTTTTTCTCAAATAACTGGCAAACTTCTGACTATGAGGTTAACCTGTTGATAGAAGGCAACAGAGGAGTCTTTTCAAGTCAGTGTTCTTGTTTCCTGAAGGGTTTGTATTAAAATTGTAGTGTGTTGCAGCTCTGATGTGCACATTAAATTTGCATTCCACTATAAATTTCAACTGCTAAAAAGAATTTTCTACTCCTTTATTTGTTATTTAAACTCATTAAACCAAAATAACTGCATTTTATATCAGTCAAATACTAGTGTAAATAAATATTTGAAAATTTAGAATGGACATTAAATGCTGCTTCTGCTGCAAGCTGATTTGATATTTTAAAAAATTAAATATATAAAGTTGTTCTTTTTGGTCCTTCATATTCTCTGTAGTACTACAACATTTTTTAGTGTTTTTAATGATGAAAGAACAGGCTATTAACCAGGGTCAACACAAGTGACTCCAGCAAAGTTCCAGTCATGTTGCAATAATAAAGATAAGTATGTCATGACATTCATATTTTGATGGTTTCAAAATATGTAACTGTAAAATTATTATGGCAAGCATAATTTACAAAGCTTATGCAGGCCTAAGAATATCACATTAGAGTACCAAAATTCCACAGTACAATGAATATTCCAGTAACACAAATTTAAGAGAGAAGAAAGAATTTGGATTTTTTACTTTTCAGAGAGAAAAGAGAGAGACAGTTATCTGAAATAACAAAATCAAGATAAAATTAAAAAAAATCCTCAAAATGTTCCAATGGAAAAATAGAATACTAAAGTTAAAGCAAGCCTAACTCCTAATTATTCTACAGCTCTACTGCAAATCCTTTCCTCCTATTCATACATAAAAATTATTTTGATACTACACTTATATGGCTATCATTTTATATAATTTGTTGGCAAGATTTTGAAAAGTCTACCGCCTTTTTAACAATAGCTAAAATTTTTATGGTGTTCAGATTTAGAGGAGTATGAGTTGAGAATTAAATTACATTTGTGAAGAACCTCTTCTTTCCAATTTTTACTTTATATTCTTACTGGCAATTTGCTTTCCATGAATCAGAAACTTCTAATAGAGATTATTGGAGTATCAGGTAAATAAACTCAGGTTTGTTTCTTGTATTTCCACAGCAAAGGCTTGCTACACTCTTCTGGCAACTGAACAAATTTTACAAAGCCAGAGATCTCATTATCCTGGGTGAAACTCAGTACTCCCCTTCCACCAAATACTGTGATTGCTCCAAACCAGGAACATGAACCTCTGAATAAGACATGAGATTACTGTTGTCATCTGCTGTGAACATGAACGTGCAAGAGGTCTGGCATAAAAGTTGTCAGCTGCTAGTATTTCTACGGAGGCCAAAACCAGCAGCTGAGGATTAACAAAATGAGGGACAGCTCTAGCTCCACCATTCTTAAGAAGCTGCAGTTGCTAAAAGTACAGCACCTCAGAAAAATGTATCATCTGCTTATTAAAAAAATCAGTTCACACATTGTCTGCTGGGCAGATATCCCACACATGGCTTTTCTTACTAGAAAATTGTATATTGTATATTGTAGAAAGGAACAAGTGTGAATATACCCACATTTTAAGGAAAGAAATGGAAAATTAGATATGGTCCAGAGAGAACACTGCTAGTAACATTTCATACATGCATGTAAACAAAAATGGCCAGCGAGGCTGCAATTAGGAGAAATCCTTCCTGTCTTTTTCACTTCTTCCTCTAGGAATATCATGTATCCTTTGTTTATTTTCCATGTGGACAAAATTCATTTGTACTATGAATAGAATGACTCTTCAGAGGGAAGGAGAAGGCATTCAAAATGCCTGAATGTCACAAAGAAAATGTAGAAAAAGGAGACAAACTCTAGAATTACATTGAACTTAAATATTTCCCTACACAGGATCTATGTCAAGCAGGATTTGCATCACAGCCAGAGCTCCTGCCCTCAGAAATAGGTGGTCACAGATTTGTACTATACCCATATCCCATGCCCATAAAAGACACCTGTTATAGCTTTGCAAGGAGAGTTAATCAATGACAGTTTATAGAAACTCCTTTTTAGGCAGTGACCTGCCTTTCCTGCTGGCCATTACTGTTTGCTTTAGTTTAATGGGAACTTCTAGAAAGGAGCAAAGCCCTGTCCCTGTTGCCAGTTGGTACAAGTTGCATGTTTTGTGGCATTACAACTTGCCTCCCAGCTATGTTGTGTCATGGTGTTCAATGTCACGGCTAGTACAGCCACTGAAGGCTGCTGCTCTACTTTTCACACCCCAGAAAGGGCACCCAAGGCACCCAGAGGCAGAAGCAGAACAGAGCATACCGCACAGTGGGCATTCTGGGATGCCTGTCTTCAATTTCCCTTTGGCCTGGAGGTAGCTCAACCCAGAGTTGTTGATCCCCTTCCAGAAACAGGAGTAAGCAGCAATAGGACAGAAGGAAGCACCAGGGAAAGACAACTGTGGATCATGGGAGCAGGAGTGAGAAGGAAAGATACACCTGTCAGCAGTTCAGAAAAAGAAGGACCTGGTGATGGGACTGCAGTGACTCAGTGCCCAGCATGCCAAGGACAGTGAAGCGGAAAGAGCAGAGCACTGATGTAAAATCTTAGCACCCCAGCAAAAGGGCAAGTGGGACATTTCAGCATTCCCACTCAGATAGGGTGTCCCCTCCTGGCACAAGTCAGCCTTGTTCTGAGAGGGTCGCAATGGGTTCTCCCAAGGAGTTATGTCCCACGTTAGGAGTCTTGCACAGGCTACCTCCTGTGCTTTGGTGCTGGTATACATGTTTTAAATGCTGATATATATATATTTATATATTTTTCTTTTGCATGTGTACTTTAAAAGGAACAACATCTATGAACAGTACAAAATCAATGCATTTAAGAACTAATGTAGTTCTGACATACAAATCTTATGATTGGTGTCATTATATTAAACCAACAAGATGTCTTGCATCTATTTGGAGCCGATATTTAACCTCTGAGATGTAAGAATACAAAACACATGTCAATAATAATGTTTTTTC